AGGTGAGAGCCTTCTGACTAATTTTACACTAATCTTCTATGTTATATGTGTGAAATCAAGTACTCTCTTGGGCCCTTTCTGCATGGGGAGACTGTGTTGAACTGAGATTGGCACCATTCAAATGGCCCTATAATAATATGGGGTTTCTGAAGACTTTGAGAAGATGGTTAACTAATGGTCTGACATCTGCTTGTGAGGAAATATAACAAAAAATGCTTTACAACTTTTTTTCTTGAGTTGCAAGATTTCCTATTTCCCACTGGGAGAAACGGCTACCTTATCCTACCTACTATTCCCAAGATCGTGCATCTCCTGCCAGATGGCCTAGAAATGTTGTCCTCTCTTCCACTGCAATTATAGTATAAGGAAAGAATGAAGAGGAGAACAGAGTGTTATTTAGCTACTTTTAAAAAAAGCATTCTTTCATTGCCAGTTGGAAGAAACATTGGCCAACAAAAAGGGAAGATGGGATTAAGGACAACCACTTCAGTGCTTCAGAAAGACTTCCAGAGGCTCGTTGTCTTAAAGCACATGAGAATCTGATCTCCCGCTCTCACAATCTTAGAGATTGCTCCCCACAATTAGAAGAGTAGAGAAAATCATATGTAGGAAGAAAATGAGCAATCTAATAATGTTCTGAAATACAGTTTTGGATAGAAGTTTGTGCAAATTTTTGATGAATTGCTAGCGCTGATCCTGTTAGGAACTGATATCATTCAGAATCTGGTCTGCCTTGTTTGAGCATTGCCAAATCCCTTCACTTACAATCTTGTTAAACAAAGGAACTCAGATTGCAGTTTTATTCATATCTTTCTGGGATTTAGCCACCTGTGGTTGCACCATTAATTATGCACAAGGTTGTGTTGTAACTTTCTTATCACTTAGCACAATAGCCCCCATCCTCAGATACCAGTAATGGTTAGTGCAACTGTTCCACCAATAATGTGTACTAAAATAAAGTTACAATGTCATTTAGAAATACATGTACTATCTCTGGCATAATGTAAGTGAACACAATTGTATCCATTCTAATTAGGGTTTATTATAACATAAGAAAACTTTCTTTTAAAAAGATTGAATGCTAAAAAAGGTTATATGCTCCAAATTATATGAAAAGGTAGGTTCATATCTATGTTCCTTTCTCCAGTATTTGAATATAACTTATGGAAAAGTCAGCACCTTCTGGACCTAACCTCAACATCTGTGATTGGGCATCACAACAGTGAAAGGTTAGACAGCAGATACAATTGCCCTTCTCCACTAACCCACAACGAAGATAATAAAATATGAAGACAATTATTCCATAGGAGGCAGATGGCTGCATTCTATAGCCAGTGTTTAGGTTAATATGTTCAAAACAGAAAAAAATTGTCAAGACATTAAAACCTATGAGCATTTTCATAATTAGATCTACAGCAGCTTCCCCCAGCCTTATGTCTCCCAGATATAAGCACAGCTGTCTAACAATTCTTAAGAACTGCAGTATCTCAGGAATATTGTCTGGTAGCTTGAAGGAGGCTAACTTACATCAACTTTTGCTTTCTTTCCTGCATTATGAGCTTAAAAATGATATTTGAATTCAATCATGAATCATTTCTGATTTCACTACTATGAAATCTCAAACCCAGAATTGATTTGATAGGTCTTGCAAAAACATATATGGTCAATTCTTGGCTGCTTCCCTACAATAAAAAAAGAATAGAAAAGAAATAACTAAGCAGGACTAATAATGATTAGGGTCAGTCTGTACTTCTTCCATGACATTTTATGAAGAGGGATAAATTGAAATGTTGTTTTGGAAAAGCCGAGGAAAATGAGGAGGCATTTGATTTGTTTTTCATCAGAATAGTTTTTTAAACTATTTAAAGTTGTAAATGTGATTTATAAACTGCTCTTTAAAAAAAAGTAGGATGGGTGAAAGAAACTTAAATGATTTCCAGACCCTGTTTTCACAAGTAGGAAAGGAAATACTACTCTCTCCAGGAACTATTTAACATTGTACCCTGTCTAGACACACAGACTTTCCTATAAATAATTGCTTTGGGAAATCGGAATATGCATATGCATGTTTTTATTTCACTATAGCAAGAAAATAATTCCCTTCCTTGTCAGCTGTTTTTTTCGGCTTCAGCGCTTTAAATCTTGATACCACATTTCCTATCAGATATTAGCATTTTGGAAAAAAAACATCAATACTGCTCATATTGCTACCTATATTATATTGAGGGAGGGGGAAAAAAGAAAGTGGCCAGATATAAAGGTGGCAGAGAGGTAATTTGTGTATCTGAGATCTTTTGGAAAGAAAAATGTGTGGATCTATTAACAATGTAATATATTTAATTTCTACCAGCATGTTAAAACATGGCTGATAAAGGAGAATATTTGTAGTTCAGGGTTGAAATGAGGGGTCCATGGTGCTCCCTGAGCTTGGTTATTTTCTTGTAAACTTTTCATTACCCAAACTAAATAACATCATAACTAGCACTGATGATGTTATCTAGTTTGGGTGATGAAACACCCCCCCCCCCAAAAAAAGGATAAAGTTTACTCCTCAGTTATTTTTGTTAGGTATAATTACTGACTGTACAGCGGTAGAGATTAACTTGATTCTGCACTTAATAACGGCAGCAAGACTGTTGGTGGCGCAATACTGGAAGAAGGAAGACTTGCCTACAATTCAAGAATGGACATTGAAAGTCACAAATTTAGCCGAGATGGCTAAAATATCTGCATATCTTAAGGACCACTCAAATGAGAGATATAAACGAGACTGGAAAAAATGGATTGATTATATACAAAATAAATATGGGACTAAGAAATTCCAGATAGCTTATGCTTAAGATCAGGAATGATTTAAATTGTTTAAAGTTAGCTTAGCAAGGAGGAGCTAAGTTCAATGTAAAGATGTTATTAATTTCTTATTCTTTTTTCCAATATATTTTAGACTGTGTTTGTTAAAAATCTATACCGTGTACGGGTTCTGGGAAGCCGGGGGGGGGTAGGCTGGGGGGGGTTGGGGGGAAGGGTGGGGGGGAGGGATATATATTAGGTTTGATGAGACGCGTTAGATTTTAATGTAATTTTACCCCACATGTATACTGTTTTTTTTCCTTATATTTTCATTGCTATTATTATTACTATTTTTTTAAAAAACTAGGATATGTTAAGCATATTGACATGTAGCAGAAATACACCAAGGAGAGGAGGAGTGGGAAACAGAAGGGAGAAGAAAGATAGGAAGAGAAGGATAGGAGAGAGAGTAAGGGGGGAAGATAAGAAGGATAAGGAGGAGTGGATTGTAGAGAGAGGAGTAGTAGAAAGGGAGGGGAAGTAGAGTAGAAAAGGATGATGGAGGGAAGATAGAAAGTTGGAGGGTGGTAGAAGAAAGAGGTGTATGGAGAGCAGAAGAGCTATAATGGGTTTCTATTTTTCTGGGCATTGTTGACAAGAGGAACTGATGTAATTATTATTTAATACCATATGATATGGGCTATGTATAGTATAAATGTGAGTGTGTGTTATGAAAATGGAAATAAAAATATTCATTAAAAAAAAAAGAAACATCCCCCCCCAAAAAACAATCGAGCATAAAGAAAATCCCTAAAATGTTGCTGTCAAGAGCAAAAAAAAACTAGAATCCCTTCCTATAAAAAAATATTTCCTTTCTACTAGAAAATTTGGCTGACTCAGGGACAGATTGAATAGTCAGTATCTCCACTTTTGGTTCTGGCCTGGAACACATTACCAGAAGAACTGGGTGTGTGTGTCTCTGTGTGTGAAACAAATGGACAAAACCAGACACCTTTTCCCACTGGGTTTAATGCCTGTGAAGCTTTTTGCTGCTCTAATTTTAGCAGCACCTCTGCTTCTAGGTTGGCTCCACCTTGGCGACAAAGCCCTGGGAAGACACGGTGATCTATTGCCTTTTTCCACTGCAGTGTGGGAGGTGAGGAAGGCAGTCTTGGCTGGAAATATTTCTGGTTTTTATTTTCCAGCCTGGAACACATTCTCTGGAACAAACAAATACCAGAACAGCTCTGGTGTATGAGACATCTGCATTTTAGAGTCTGCCTTTGTAGTGTCTGGCAACCATCAGAGATGAACTGCTTTATCTTCCTTGGAAAAGTACAGGGTCACATCAATACTAATTTTTGCAGGCATTTTGTGCTTGGTGCACAGCATGTGAGGATGGCGGTGAGAAACAGGAGAAGTTACAGGCTTAACAGTCCTAAAATCAAAACCATTTCAGTTTCTTAACCGAAATCTTTCTACTCTTTCGCTTGTGCCTTGAAACTCTCAAGATCAAAAATCATCACTCTAGAGAAAAACCTCAGGATGCTGAAATAAGCAGACCGGCATGTCACAGTACTACTAAAAATTAAGAAATAAATCTTATTTGATAGCTTCTTTGTTTCCCATTTCCATCATCAGCTCTCAAAGTCTGGAGAGGAGACTGGCAAATAATTTAATTTAATTCAATTATCAAAATTTATATGCCGCCCAATCCCGAAGGACTCCGGGATATATAATAATATAATATATATAAAGATGGTTCCCACAGACAGATTCCTCCCCCTCCCTCCCTGCTCCAATTGCTTGAAGTAGGTTCTTTATTTTCCCTTCATTTCCACAAAGGGCATCCCAATCTTGTTCTTTTCAGATTAAAAAAAACCCCACCTTAGAAAGTTATGTGATGAAAAATTGAAGGCAAAGTGACTTTAAGCATGTAAAATTATGTATAGTTTAAGGACAGAATGGGGAATTCAGTCACAGACAGTTTGTTCCATCATGATATTTCCATATTACCCAAATAATGATGCAAGTAATTAAAGCTATAAAGCCAACTTAACACAGATGATGGAGAAAGGCAGAGAAATACAGAAATGCACACACACACACACACACACACACAGAGAGAGAGAGAGAGAGAGAGAGAGAGAGAGAGAGAGAGAGAGATTGAGAGATTAAATTCTGCAAATGTTCATCAGTTAGAAACATACCTGCTTTCAACAGGTGGAAATTCCTGCCCATACCTGTCGTATGCCAGGCCCATGGAGTGGATGGAGAAGATGGGGACCTTTTCATCTGCTCAAACTTTACAGGGGCTACTGGGACATCCGAGCCGCCACTCCTCTTTTAAGCGGCTAGCACAAGTGGTCCTCTTTCCTCACTGCTTAAAGTCTGGAAAACCTTTTACTTTTACCTTATATGAGCTGAAAGATGATGCTGGATGGCTGTCGGCCACATCTGTCAGGAGCTCCGAGCAGACCATTCGCTAAGGCTGGGTCACGTGGCACTGCTGCCTTGACCTGCAACAGTTCAAGCGAATGTTGGTTTTACCCCCCGAGGAAGGCGTGCTTGACAATTTTCATATTTCTTCTAAATTTGGAGATTTCAGACAATGCTCAGAATGCCAGAGACCCATGTGGAAGTCATTAACGCTGGGAAGGAGGGAGGGAGAGAGAAAGAAGGAGGGGGGGAGAAGAGGCCAAGGGAAGGCGGGGAGGGGGGCAAAGGAGTGAGGCCTGGATGCTGTTGCCAGCTACATGCCTGGGAACGTAAATGAACTCACTCAGGGAAAGTTGTTTGTAATAATTTGCTTCCTTTCCAGTTCTCCTGCCCCAACACATGCTTGAAAGGGATAAGTTCTACCCAGTCAGTGACAAACTCAACAGAAGCAAAAAGAAAAAATATATATTTGGAAGGCAGTATTTTTGATCTCATAGGATGGAGTCGCTCCAGGCAGGCTGCAACTGACAAGGTTCAAAATCTGAAGAGAGAGAGCACTTCCCTGGCCTGGCTTGAATTACCTTGTGATATTTTTTGAGTTTGAAAAAACTTCATTTGACCAGGCTAAGAAGCATATAAGCAGCTGAAAAGCAGCATACAAAATGATTTCTTTCCCCTATCCTAAACTTGTCTTGTCTTGTCTTGTCTCTCTCTCTCTTTCCCTCCCTCCCTCCCCCACTCTCTCTAGCTATACTGTAAATATAAAAAAAGGTGATATAGGTTCTCTACCCCCCATGTGTGTTTTTCAGTCTGATTCAGTCTTTTCAAACAAGGATTATGTTAGATACATAGAGTAGACTCTGAAGTCATAAAGAAGGTTGGCATGATGAGGAAATATACTCACAAAGTCTTGCAAACCAGGTACAAAATTGGAAGCTAGAATTTCTAGTGCAGCTTTCTCTAAATGCTATCCATTTAGGTTTTAAACATTGGATTAAATATTGGGGTAGCACAGGGGTCCCCCAGCCTCTGGTCAATGGACTGAGACTGATTCGCAGCCTATTGGGAAATGGTCCACACAAGCAGCAGGCAAACATGTGTGAAATCACCCCCCTCACCACCACCACCACCACCACCATGCACTGCCACCACCACTGCCAGTCCATGGATCCAGAAAGGCTGAGGATTGCTGGTATAGCACATAGTAGAGATTAATTTGGTAAAATCCATGGAACATTTTTAGGAGAAACTCAGTGAAAAGGGAAAGAGCCCTTTTTGTCCAAATGGAACCAAACTGCTCGAACTTACCATCAAAAAGTGATTAAGCTGATTTGGGGGATAATTCAATGAATCTGAAGACCCGAGGAGTCGGACCACATATACATTTAATAAACAACAGCAGCAACAATTATTATGGTTTATCACACAGGCAAACAGATATTTAGATTGGATTTAGCAGCTTTATCCACTTACTGAGTCTTTCCCAAGGACCCAGGATAGAGAGATGTTGTTGTTTGATGATATTATTCTGAAGAGATGATTTTTTTTTGTTTTCCCAAAAAGTGATGTCAGAAATACGACATCAACTGATAGTAGAACATGATAACCAAAGAGCCCACAGAAAAGTCAAAGTAGCAAAAACATTTGGGGAACAATCCCACATTAGTGTTTTTATACTGATGCTAGCAGTTTCAAATTGTTCCCAAATGCATGTTGTGTTGTCATATTAGTAGGTCTGTAAAGTACAAGGATGTAAAGAAAATCTAAACATCAGTAAATGAATGGCAAAAATACATTTAACATTAATCATTTACAAGCAGTGTTTAGGTTTTCACCTAAATATTTCTCCCCTGCCTTTGGTCAGTGGTATCATTGGTGATAAAATGGCAGTAATAAGCTAACTAATATTTGTTATGATCAACAGAAAATTACCAACACAACGCTGCCACTATAATAGTGGCATTTTGCAATTTTAAGTAAAAAGTAAGTAAAAAAAATTCAAGTTAAAAGCAAGGAATGAGTGAATTAGGATGGTTTGAATGATTTCTACACAGGTAACGGATGTTGTGTGTTGAAGCAAAAATGGAAAGTCTCGTGTAGCATACTGTAAAAGATTATTTTGTGGGGTAATCTTTTGTGTATTATAGTAGATTTAAAATGTGGGCATAAAGAAAGGAAAGGAAACCAGTAATAAATGACTATCATTAGATACAAACTGTGGGAAAAAACCTGGGAACTGCTTCCTAGAATAGTATGCCTTTGTGACAAAGTAAGCATGATGACCCATAAAGCAAATTCCTCAAAACGAAAAACTACCTCCATGGAATCACTGTGAGTTATGATGTCAATTTCTCCAAATTGTTTGATCCTGTGGACATGCTATTGTCCACCTGCCTGAAATATTAGGAATGACCCTGAGACAGAGAATTTAATTAGGGAGGCGTCCAGAAAGGCATGATGTGTAAACTGAGGTAATATCAATTGTTGTGATAGAAAAGGAGCAATATTCTTTCACTTCTAAGGTTGGACCTGAATCCCGTTCTACAGGATAGAACACATCTTGACAGCACACAGGATATAGTAATGTGTATCAGTGTTTCACTGACAAGAAACAGTGATCCCAATATTTTCAAACTTTATTTAAATGTCACAGGGAAAATATGCAGAAAATCCAGCATGTCAGGTTTTTTTTTTAATCTGGACAAATAAAAAGGAAACAAAGAAAATGAAGTGTCAAAACTCTTGAGATTAATCATTTGGGGCTCAACATCATAATTTGTTCATTTAAGAAATTTATTTGCTGCCCATCTCATATCCAATGACTCTGGATGGCTATAATAATATATGTTGAAGGTAAATTACAAGTCAAACACTATCACCAGTCCTAAGAGGATAGTCATACAAATAATAGGCAGTGTTAAGGAAGCTATGACTTTAGATTCCTTTAGACTAGAGATGGGCACCTGAGAGTCTATGGTCATATGTAATGACCATACCTTACTTGTGTCTTGAAACTCCTAAGGCTATTTCCATCAAAATTTAAGCAGGAAAGTTCTGAATTTCAAAAGCATATTTTTGAGTAGGAGGGCTGATGGATTTACTGGAAGAAAGGGTAGCCATTTGATTTCTAGAACCTTCTATCCCCATTTCCACTCTTATTCTCCCTCAAAAACAGACAAACAAAAGCAGGTAAAAGAAATGCAGCATGCCTCTTCCACTAACACTACTACGTCACCCGATATCTTTTTCAAAGCCCCACAGAAGGTGGGAAATTTTAATTCCCCCGTTCTGTTTTATGGAAAATGGATGCCTTGCTCAAAAAAAAAAAAAGAGAACAAAATGAAAAGCTTCAAATTCAGAGGTCGTAATCATTTCAGTATTAGTTGCTGGGAAACACTAGCGTGAAAGCATTATTTCATTCTGTTTTACTAGTGAACTTCACAAAAGCATCAAGTTGGTCTCCATGAAAGCAATAGGTGGTGAGATTGGCCTATTGATCCAGTGCTTGTTATGTTCTTACCCTTGGACCTTAGCTACTCAGTGCTGGAGGCAGGAAAATAGCCTACACAGCCTAGATTGCACTTCCAATATTAAGTCTTTGACCTTCAAACGTAGTGGTGGAAGGGGTTTGTTATTCACGTTGAGTTAAAATGCAATAATCTCAGGAGCTTTTGTTTTGTTCCTGTAGTCTTAAGAATTGCTTGCTTTAGCCTTGAAAGTATAGAATATTTGTGATGGAAAGTGAATCATAAAGGAAAAACATTCCTGGAAGGCTGACTATGTTTTACGTTTCTGAAGTTTTAAATAACAGATAGGAGCTCTTTTGTGTAAGACCAACGAAAGTTACAGTATATGCGTATACAGGGTGAAATTATGTGTACTAAATCAGAATAAATGTGAACTTTTCTTTTATTGTTTTGTTTATTTGTACTTTTTAATGAAAGAGATTTTGTTCCGTGCAAATTTTATTTCAGCCAGTGAATCCAGTGTGGCTGATTGGATAGGCAGCCACCATCTTGTAATGCTCTTCAGAGAGCAAAATGCCTTGCTCTAGCTCTGAGATAAATGATACCTCTCCCATGTTTGAGGAGAGAAATTTAAAACGTGCACATCTATGGTTAGGAAACATGAGCCCATGTATGGTAGGGTCTGTCTCAGAGTGATTTAATTACTGGCATGATGAAAAAGCCATGAAAGGGATAAAGCTTACATGAGGAGCTCTCTCTATCAGCAGTTTCTTTTCTTTAGTATTGTTCTTCGGCTAATGAGGACAGCTAGCTAAATCCCAGACAAAGAATCTCAGCTGGCCTTGATGCTTACATCTTTTCTTCTTCAAAGTAAGACACAAAACCTATCACAGCACAGGATTTCTTTTATGTGTGGACTTGAACTATAAGCAGGAAAAATATTCCTAGATTAAAACTGAACGTAGATTTACTTTTTGATCACTGGAAGATTATGATCTGTCTGGTTTGAATTCCTCTGACATTGCTCTTTGTGTGTGAATGTGTGTGTGTGTGTTTGTGTGTGCGTGTGTGTTCATCTTGGCCCTCTCTATGGAGAAAAAAGTGAAAAATTATTCTGTTAGTAATGGATCTCTTGATAACCAATGATAATCATGATCACTTTATTACTAAAATAAGTGTGATTGTATGGTATTGTTGTGCTAGATAGGAATGATATTAAAAGAAATTAGTAGCCAAAAAGAAGCAGCCAGAACAAAATGTCTGATCTCTCAATTAAGCTAATTTTCACAGTGGCTCTCCCACCCTTTCTCCAAGCAAGGAAACATTAATCACTGGATAGTGAAGATAAGAGATTTGCATGAGTTCCAAGATGTAACCAGAAAGAGAAATTAAGGGACTCATTTCCAAGCCCGATCTCAATATAAATAGCATACACAGCTTGCATGTTCTGTACAATATAATTAATCTACTAAATGTCCCTATCTCTATTTTGAATTCCTAGCTTTGGGGCCAGAACAGACTGAAGTTCC